TTTTTGGTAAAGTTACTGCACTTTTTTTGTTTTTAGCAGCGTCATTGTACAGAGCAACAGCAGGCTGTAAACTGAAAACCCTGATTAAATTAACCAACAGTTTTGATAATAATTAAAGTAATTTATCAAGCAAAAGGGGCAAACATTTACTAGTTTTAGCTGCTTAAATGTGAGACGTTACTATCATATCACTGTAAATTGATTATATTTGTTAATCAGTTAGTCTGACATAACAAGCAAATTAAAGACACCACCTATGGCTTGGGCATTTTTCACTGTTTCGTTAAGCATTTTGTAGACTAACTGCGCGGTTAAAACCCCATAACATACAGCACTCCCACCGATAGCTCAGTCATTACAAGCTCATGCTGTGAAGCCAAATATTGTTTAGACTCACTGAACACTATTTTAAATTATTCAGACGTTTCCAAAGATATGAAATATGTCAGTTTATTTGGGGAAATGTGTAACAAATGAGACGGATACAGAAAATATATGTTACTGTCAGAGAGGATTAAGATGATTTCAACTACTAGCTATCTATCAGAAAACAAAAAGGGGAAAATAATTGCTAGTTGCAGACTTGAGTCAAGGTTGTACCCACAAATACACACAAAGACAGAACTCCTAACCTCAAAGTGTTAGTTTCTGCAGATGCCAGCGTGCAGGGAGGTTACAGTGGAGCTGCTATCTCCTGATTTGGCTGATGATGTCTGTTAACTGCCAGTCATAGAGGAAGTCTGGCTAAACTGTCACCAGCCTCCATGCAATCACTCCTCAACGAGACCCTGGGGGGAGAAGAAGGGGGAGGGGCGGGTTTCTGGTGTTTCAGAGTTGTCATGACACTGAGCATTACAAGCATGTTGAGTCCCATGTCGTCTCTCAGGATCGCTGCATATTTTCGCCGCCTGTCTTTGAGAGCGTGTCTCGCGTGTGTGGATGTGTGTCTGCATGCATGTGAGGGTCCACATAAAAGTGTGTGCGAGTCTACATGCACCTGTGTGCTTGTACGCACGTGCAAAGAGGTGTCGGGGTGCGGGGTGTGCGTGTGAGGTGTAAATGCGCTGGCACCCAGTCGCCACATCAGGGGTGCGAGAGGAGGGTGGCGGCGCGTGTGATAGCGAGGGTGTAAATTGAGCTGTGATCGTCCAAGAAGCAGGATATGATTGGATGAAACGACAAGACCTTGTGCGCTTCGGTGCGAGGCACTTAGACACACTCTGCTCTAAACTGCAGCGTGCTGAATTCCTGTTGCTTCTGCCCCTTTTTTATCTCTCTCCCGCCACTCTCTTTGTGTTTGTAGATCTCCAAGCTTTCATCTCAGACCGAGCCTTTGAAATACAATGCTCTTTCTATGTCTCTTTCCGTCAGCCACACACGTTCTCCCTCTTCTATGCTTATATCCTAATAACTCCTTAGTTTAGTTTATTTTTGACATCTGTTTGGCTGTAATCTTCCACAGAACACTTACATATGTGGTCCAGTATGTCTCCACATTCAGTGTTTTCCCAATGTTCCAAAAATGCAGAGGGCTATGAAATAATGGTTGTTGGAGTCAGTTTTTCTCTCTGTGTCTGTCTTTCTTCCTCTCCTTCCTGTATCATATCTTAAGCAGCTTCACCCATTTGTTTCTCCTTTTTTTTTCTATTCTCCATGCTCAGAAACACAAGGAGCGGGACAGACATAAACCGAAACACAAGAAGACCATGGACATGTCACCCTCCCTCGTCCTTCCAAACATCATGGTCCCAGACAAGGTGAGGGCACCCCTCCACTATGTACTGCTTTGTTTTGGTGATTTGTGACTTGGCTGGTTAAAAATTACAGCAAGGGACTTTTTTTTTTTTATTACCTTTATTAACCTTTGTTGCTCTACTTCTGTATCCCTCAAACATCCTGTCCTCCCGCTGACCTCTCCACCATTTTTGGTCCTCCCTTTCTCAACTGGCATTGTTTTGATAATTTTCTATCCGTGTTCCGGTGCTTCTCGTGGTTCCTGTCCTCCCTTTCCGTTCAACCATAATTTTATTCTTCCTCCCTTTTCCAGACCTACAACAGCAGCAGCTCAGGGGGAGGCGTCACCTCTCTCTCAGCACCCTCACAGAAGAGACTGGACGACGGCACCGCCCGTTTCACCACCGCCAACTTTCAAGAAGTGTCAGCCGTTCACTCCGGCGGCGGGTCCAAAGATGGCATGGCTGCAGATGCTGGGAAAGCGGTGTCTGAGGTGAAGAACAAGAAGAACAGCGGTGGAAGTCACGCGGTGGGACAGAGGGGCGGCCGCAAGTCTCTCACCTCCTCAGGGAAACCCCTCCCCTCCGCCGTGGTCACCATGGCAACATCCTCCACATCTGCCTCTGCTTCCACAGGGCCTTTCCACCAAGGTGAATTGATGGCTGCAAATGGTCCTGTATGTTAATTTTCCCACAACTGGGAATTAACCCTGCAGTTAGAAAAATGGAAACACAATGACAAATCATCTGCTCTTCCTGCTCTGCCCACCCACCAAAAAACTGTGCAGCATAATTGCAATTACAGTAATGCTATTAAAACCCAAATAAGAGGGAGATTTGTGTGTGTGTGTGCGCGTGCTGTGTCATTTTCTGGATTTTGGCCAGACCCCAGACTTTTGTGTGTGGCCGTGATAACGGTGCTTCGTCTCGACTGGCTCCTTTAATCGGGGGCCCTGTCTGGGAACAGACTAGCACACACACACACACACACAGAGAAAGAAAGAACATGAGGGTAGGTCAGGACCTGAAAGGAGTCGGTGCTCACACTGAGCTCCTGTGTTTTGTACTATTGCCCTTGTCAGGTGTGTGTTTGTTTGTGTGTGTCTAGCAGAGAAATTGTGTGTGTGTGTGTGTGTGTGTGTGTGTGTGTTGGAGTATCCATCCATGTGCTTTCAAGGCAGTTCATCTGTTTCACGGGAGGATGAGGGGGGGCTGACTGTACAGCAGATAGAGAGCAGGAGAGTAGATAAAATGCTTATTTTGGTTATCTTTTTTTCTGCTGCTTTTGGAAACTTTTCCAGCTGTAATGTTTCCTCTGTGTTGTTTCTCTCCTCCTCTCACTCCTGGTCTCTCTCTTCCTTTCTCATCTCACATGTCATTCCTGTCTATCTACACTTCTGTCTTTCTCTCTTTTTCTCACATTGTCTCTGTTTTCCACATGTCTGCTTCTTTCTTCCAGGCCTCCTGTTGACCAGTGCCAGCAAGACTCCTTCTGCTCCTTCCTCCTCTGACTTCCTAAGCTTCTCAGATTCATCGTTGCGTCCCGGGGGTGGGACTACTTTCTCCTCCCCACCATCTTTCAGCAGCTGCCTTGTGAAGCCGAGCTCGGAGGGCGGAGCTTCAGAGGGAACTACGACACTTTTCGGTTCTCTGATGTCCGCCACTACAGCGTCTGCAGGTAGCAGATATTTTTAATGGTTACCTTGTTGGTCTCATTATTACAGTGATGCCACAGTTAGTAATTTTTTAGACTTGGGGCCTTCAACAGAATGTTGTATGTGAGCTTTTACCAGTAAGTAAGGTTTAACAAAAGATACTTATTAGGTTGCGTTATGGGAACTGTAGCACCCAGTGTTTTTGAAGCTTGACCCGTATTGGGGACCAAAAATTAGGATATCTCCATAGATACCTCTGTTGCATCAGTTTTGTCCTTTGAAAATACTGTAACTTTATGGAAGCACAATAAAATCTGAATATTTGCTTGTTTTCCTAGCCTTCTATTATACTAAACAGAATATCGTTGGGTTTTAGGACTGTTGGTCAGACAAAACAAGCTATTTAGATGTGCCAGTTTCTGTTCTGGGAAATTGCAATGGGCCTTTTTCAAAGTCTGACATTTTACAGAGCAATAGATTAATTGAGTAAGTAACCAGGGAATTAATTAATAATGAAAGTAATCGTTAGTTGCAGCCCTAATTTACAAGAGAACTGATGACGCAGGAAGTGCTTTCCTCTAAAGTAGATTCTTTGATGGATCTCAGGCCAGCCAACTACAACAAAAACACCCAAGGCAGGCTTTATGCTTAAATATTCAGTTCTGCTTTCTCATCATTTCAGTGGGCGGGAAGCTGTATGAGAATTCCCATAGTCACACAGCTACTGAGGCGACAAGTCTCGGTGGGTCCACTGGCTACAAACGGCCCCAACCCTCTAACTCAGGCCCGGGGATCGGAGGAGCAGCGGCAGGAGGAGGGGAAGATGGGGTGAAGAAGAAAAAGAAGGGCAACTGGCGAAACAGATTTGGACCTTGCTTCACCACGGATGTGAAGCCTTCGGAGCCAGCTCCCTCCCTGACTCTCCCCACCTCCTCCACAGCCAACACCGCCTCTTCCACCGCCTCCCCGTCCTCCTCTTCATCCTCAGCGCTCTCAGGCCGGCCGGGCTTAGTTTCCAGCAGTGGATTAGGAGTGGGAGTGGGGGGAGGGGGAGGAGGAGGAGGAGGAGGAGAGAGGGGGCTTGGGGTCATGGGTGTCAGTGGTGGGATTCAGAAGTCCCCGTCACTCCTCAGGAATGGGAATCTGCAAAGCAACAGCGGCTCCACGACCACTGGGCCAGGTGAGGAGGACTCAGCAAGTTAACACACACAAAACACAACGTTTCACAACAATGAACAAGAGAAATACTCCTTCTGTCTGTCAGTGTCAGTTGCATTTAGGAAATCATCTTCACAGTTTTGTTGAAGCTAATATGCAGAAATAATTAAATTGTTGTTGGAAGCTAAAATCAGGAAACAGGCTGGTTTATTTCAAGATTTATACGCCAGTTGTGTCATGTTAGACAAAGAAGTTGCCCAGTCGTGCTCACCATAGTGGCATCACAATGATTAAAAGGGAAGTGGTTGTGTGGCAGTGTTGTAGCACTTCTTTATGTCCAGTTCCTGGTTTGTGGAGCTTTCTTTCCATTCCCCCCAAATGCTGATGAATTAAACAGAAATATATGTGGATTGCCTCTGTGCAGCAAAGTATTAACATTACCGATCACAAATAGCAAGGATTTGACACACCTTTATGATTGGCTCCTTGTGTGTGTGTGTGTGTGTGTGTGTGTATGTCAGAGTGCGGCGGGTGTTATTTGCTCACACACGTGGAAGTGGTCTGTATGTTTTGTTTTTTTTTTGTTTTTTTTTCTCATCGTGATCAGTTGCTTGGCAACTGTCTTTATGCTTTGGAGTTCCCCTCTGCTGATGGAAATGGCTCAGTACAGCCCACACATCCCACATCTCCCCTTTCTTCCAGAATCACCACCCTTTTTTGTTTCTCTCCTGCCTCTCAGCCGCTCTCTCTTACCTGCATTCTGCTCACTCCTCAAATCCCCGTCTCACCTGTTGATGCTTTATGCAGCTGACGGTGTACGTGTGTTCGCGTAGTCCCATGTCCAAATGCAAGTATAGAAAATAGATTCTCTAATGAAACCAATATCCACCACTTATCAGGATCATCTTACCCGATGCTGATCGCCAGTTTTTACACAAGGCTCTTGCTTGAGACGTCCTTCAGGCTCTTTGTCTGTTACTCAGCCTATTTTCTATTTTTGATGAGTCCTTATTCTAAAATATTTTCAGTTGTACTTTGAAACTCTTTTCAGACTGATTGATTACAGCTTGTTAAATTATTTATTTGTCCTTAACCTTCAAAATCTCTAACAAATATTAGACAATTCCACTCTGTGTCAGGTTGATTGGATTGGAGCATCCATAGAATACAATAAATCTGTAGTAATATCATGTTTTTCCTCATAGCAGCATTGTTCTGTTGTGAAGTATGAAATATTATGTGGTTGCCAAGTGGGAGTACACAGATTCTGATCAAAACATTTGTTTGTCTACTTGCATGTGCATTGGTGACATTTATCAGATGAGACACTTTAAAAATTAGTTCATTACCCCCAATTCAATGTTGTTAATTGTTATTGACAAATTTTCTCATACATATATATTGCTTTTATCAGTTATATGTCACTGAGAGGAAACCTGTTATTAAACCAACATTAAATGCAGCAATTAGACTTTAGAATTATTGTTTCACTGCAAATGCCCAAATGTAGTTGTTGTTAATAATATGTAAATACAAGTTAAATATTGAAAGTCATGCTTTCAAGTGTGCGTTTAGTAGGTATTACATATTTTGGTAGCTTTGAGCACAAGTTGGTGAGTCAAACCTGAGGACTGGTGCTGTTTGCTTTCCGAATATAATCTCTTGCAGCAGTGGTGGTTAAGGATAATTTTGTTTGTGATTCCACGTCCATCTGAGTTTTTGGTGCTCGTGCTTTTCCCTACAGCAGTGGCGGCATTTCTGACCACAGCTGGTGAAAGACGATAGGGAAAACAACAGTGGTGGTTATGTATGGCTGTGCATTATATGTGCGTATGTGTGTGTGTCCCAGAGTCATGTGTTCGTCTTCCTACTGTAAATATTTAGCCGAGGGTTAATGCAGGGCAGTAATGGGGAGGATCTTTGCGTTTACCCCCCTCCTTCCATCCTGTCTGCTGACTCCACTGTGCTGATGGATAGATAGTTAGCCTGATAGATATGTGTTGGATGGTAGGGAGAGGCAGGGGGTTAGATTTTGGCTGGGTTAATGTTTGACGGCAGGGGGGTCACCGATGGGACGGACAAGCTGGTAGAGCTTAGTGGGGGAGGAAAGATGTTTGGTGGACATGAATTTATTCAGGCCAGTGGGAGTGTGGGTAAAATAAAGAATGAGGAAAGAGACAAAAAAACACAAGATGTTTATTGCTGATTTTCGTGTATTGATAAGCTTATTTATGTAATTGTTTTTAAAGTTTTCTTCACTGTAGTTTCTTTTCCTTCTCCCAGTGAAAACGTAATTATCAGCATCTTGGTCTCTCTGCAAAACACATGTGAAGAGAAGTTGTGAAAACCAGGGAAAGGTTCAGTGAACAGGATTTCATTTAAATACCAAATTAAGCTTGTTGGTGAGATGTGTCTCTTAGATCCCTATTAGTTAAGTTTGTCGACGAAATTTCTTGTACTAGGGAAATTTATTTTCTACATTAGAAGAAATTATTTGGAGATTCATAAATAAAAACAGTTTTTGGTCACTGTAAAATTTTATTTCACAATTTCACATTTATTAATGTGATTGAAAGTTTAACTTTTTTATACATATTTAACAAGTGTGAGAACTGTGATGGATTGAGTTTAAAAGAATTTTTGGAAAACAGAATTCATCCAAAACAAAGATTGTTAAACCCTTGAAGCTGAAGAACACACACACACACACAAACACACACATATTATGCAGAAAACCTCTAACAAACAACACTTCTGAAAATATTGGAGACAAACAATTTCAAAGTGACAGCTCTTTCATGTGCATCAGAAAATATGTGTGTTCCTCATTAGTAAACTATGGTGAATAAGTAGAAGGTAATAATATTTTCAGTAGAATTTACACTAGTCCATCACTCTTCAGTTTGAATTGAGACTCTTGAATGTTGTTGTCTGCCCAAACTGTCTGCAACTGATACGACCTTTTCACTTTATGGCAAATACCCACATACATTTTGTGATACATGCATACAGACATGGACAAGCACACACACGCACACAGTTACATTGACTGGCCTTGACTCTGCTCCCTCTACACATTGTTGAGATGTTTGAATACATTTCTGTTTGTCTTTGGTGGTAGAAAATCATGAGAAATTAACAAATGTCTTCCTGTTGCCATAATGGCAGTCTCCACATTCCATTTTTAAATTATGATTAAATGACTGTCTGAATTTTTTCCAAAAAACAAGTTATAGAGCCCGAGTATTCACCATCGCCCCGCTGCTTTGATAGAAATTTCCTCCTAAAACAAAATTTAAAGCGAGTTCTTAGTCAAAACATTGATTCAGCTGTTAAATAACAGTATGATGCCATCCACTTAGTTTTTAGATTGGACTTAACCCTCCCTAAATAGACAACATAGATTTCCTATGGAGATAATACCAGCTTGAACTAATCAAGGTGGATATTTTTGAAGCTTACAGACACACTGAGCAGGACGGGAAAAGGAAGAGGAAGGTCAGGCGATGGAGGCAGTTCTGCTTCAGGGGCTTAACGTTATTGATCACACAGATAGGGTATAAGTTTTACAAGCTCAGGCTTGT